ATCTTGATTGAGGGAGCCATTATAGGGTTAGCAGAAACCTGGCTCTAGAAAAATTCCCAGGAATCCACAAGGATGACCCTAACTAAGAACCTAAGCAATAGAGGAGAGGGGGCCTGATCTTGATTTGCCCTGTAGTCAGACTGATGAATATCTTTTTTTAATAATTAAAACTTTATTGAAAAACTGACACCAAAATAGGAGATCACTGTTGTATACTTTATAAAATCAAACACACTTACATTGTCTTGGTAGAGTCACTAAACTTGATAAGACTTTCTGTGAAAAATGCAAACTCAGGAATTTGTATAGATGAATAGTGTTGCTTTCTTCTAAATGAACAGCCTTCTGTGAGCCTGGCTTTTTCTCCTGTGGGCTGGCACAGAACTGGTGAACAACCTACACAAATAACCACTGTCTGAGCATGGCTGAAAACTGTAGTAATATTGCAGCAGCCTGAACATTTCACATCCATGAAGTAAGAATTTGGGCTCTGAACCAGCCATTTCTTTTTATGTTTTTTCTTTTCATCTTCCAAGGAAGGGTGTAAAAGATCTCTAGCCAGAGGCATGGTGGGCTTGGCCAGCACCAGCACTCCAGATCTCTGAGGTGAGGTGCTTGCTGGCGAGTGCTCGGCTCCAGACTGATGAATATCTTAAATATCACCATAGACTCTTCATCTAGCAATTTATGGATATAGAGGCAGAGACCCACATTGGAGCACTGGACTGAGCTCCCAATTTCCAGTTGAAGAGTGGAAGGAATGAGAATATGAGCAAAAAAGTCAAGAGCGTGAATGGTTTACCCACTGAAACAGTTTACCTGAGCTAATAGGAGCTCACCAACTCCAGCCAGACTGGGAAGTAACAAGCACAGGACCAAACTAGTCCCTCTGAATGTTGTTGACTGTTAAATTACTGGGGCAGACTGAGGGGCTACTGGTGTGGCACCAGGATTTATCACTGCTGCATGTACTGACTTTTTGGGATCCTATTCTCTTTGGAAGTATACCTTGCTCAGCATAGATATAGTAGGGAGGGTCCTTGGACCTTCCTCAAAGCAATGTGCCTTATACTCTCTGAGGGTTGGATCGGGGTGGGGTGGGAGGGTGTGTGGAGGGAATGGGAGGAGGGAGTGGGAACTTGGATTGGTATTTTTTTAAAAAATCTAATAAATTAAAATAAATAAGTAAATAAAATAAAATAGGAGATCAGGTACTATTCTCCCCTCCCCCCCCAGACCAACGCCCCTTACCTTTTCCCCCTAAATGGCAGGGCCCCTTTATAGTAAGTCTTGTAACTCCCACAGCTGCAAGCTCAAGGGCCTCCCTCATTGGATTCACCTGTCTCATCTTAAACCTTTTACTCTTCCAGCTCAAGATACCCGCTCGTATATGGTAACTGAAACAGGACCTTGCTCTCTTATGTTCCAGAGGATACTAAGATCAACCACTCTTTTTTCCAGGTCCCAACCCCACCTGCCTCCAATTCACCCTCAAAAACCTATTTTCCCTTCCCAGTGAGATCCATACATTTTTCTCTAATTCCTCTTTGGGTTTAAAGCCTGTCTGGGTTTGAAGACCAGGGCAAGACCGTGTTTTACTTTACAGCTAATATCCACTTATAAGTGAGAACATATCATGTTTTCTTTTTGGCTCTAGGTTACCTCATGCAGAATTATTATTTTTTTTAAGTTCCATCCATTTGCCTGCAAATTTCAAGATGCCATTGTTTTTAACAGTTGAGTAATACTCCATTGTATAAATATACACATTTTCTTTACCCCGTTCTTCAGTTGAGGGACATCTAGGTTGTTTTCAGGTTCTGGCTATTACAAATAATGCTATGAATATAGTTGAGCAAGTGTTCTTGTCATATGATTGTGCATCCTGTGGATATATGTCCAAGAGTGGTATAGCTAGGTTTTGAGGTAGTTTGATTCCCAGTTTTCTGAGACACTGCCATATTGATTTCTAAAGTGACTGTACAAGTTTGTACTCCTACCAGCAGTGGAGGAGTGTTCCCCTTGCTCCACATCCTCTCTAGCATAACAAAGTACAGATTCACCTGCCTCAGCCTTCCAAGTGCTGGGATTAAAGGCATGCACCACCACCACCTGGTCCCAACCTTAATCTTAACCAACCATCAAATTAATAAATTATTGTACAAGTCTCCTTGGGTATCCCATGTAATTGATATAAAAGGATGGATTTTTTTTCTAGAGAACTTGACAAACATAACATCCATTTCTCAGTGTTAACTGAAAGAAAACAGGATAGGAAAGTTATAGAACATTTTGTACAGTAAAATCTCACAATGTCTGCATTTGTAGAATATATAAAATACAATAAAATATAATAATACAATAGAATAACTGAGCCTGTGATTGTTTATGTGATACATAGAAACTATCTGATTTGTTATGGTATATGTTCTTTTGACTAATAAAAAGGTTTGAAGGAAATGCAAGGGTAAGGAGAGGATAGGTCCTCGTACACCGCTGTGACTCTGGATCTCATATTGTGGGAAAATAAAAATCAAGGAAAAGATATAACCCTAACTTTTGGAGATATTAAAGTAATTTTTATTTTAGTTCTCTATTCTGCTCTGCACTGGCAGAATTTACTAATTAGTAAACTATCACTAAGAGTGTCAACGCGGATCCCATTGTAGGACAGGTTAGCCCTGAGTTTAATCCCAAGTGAACAGAGAAAGAATCATCTCCTGAGCATAGACTGAGTCCATGCTCTTATTAGGAAAATTGCTTGACCAAAGGGAAGTCAGGTCGAGCGTTATCAGTTGATTGGTACACTTTTTCTCTGTCTCTCTATAGTGTTTGGTTTTCAAGAAAGAGGAGTCACGACATCACCACACACGTCTTGAGCTTCTGTGTGCATCCTTCTGTTCTTTAGCTGAGTGTATCAGGGATTTATAATCTGGCCAGAAAAGGTAAGACTGTATTTATGTTTGCGCAGATTTCAAACACTGAGGCTGTTAGCAATTTCACAAGCAATTCAGTGTGAAGTTTTTAATATGACAGGATTCAGTGTAAAATTTAGTCAAGAGCGACCTGAATAAGAAAAACTTTTGGAGAATATTATAAATATGTCTAATTTTGTGTTTTAAGTGGCAGAAATTAAGTCATATTTGTAGACTGTAGGGTTTTATATCTAACTGGTATTATCATATACACCAAACTGTATTTCACATTTGTTAATAAATGAATTTTTATCTATCGTTGGAAGATTTACTTTACTGGAAAGATGCAAGGATCCCCGAATTATCACTTAAGTACATTTATTACTATTAACATTGAATTTTATTATATTTTTAAAATATCATGTAAACCATATAACAGTTATCTGTCCATTTTGATGACATAATGATGAAAAATAAATGTCTATTCATAAAGAGAAAAATCACAGAGACTCAGAAAACAAGACAGAAAAAGGTGGACAGTGCCCATTTTCAGCTTTGGTACTTATCCCTTGCTGACTCCCTGTCTAGAAAGTAGCCCATCACACTGTGATAACCACACATGCTGTGCTGTCTGTTAGCTCTCAGGAGAGAGTAGGAGATTACAGTGTAGAGTTTGATGAAGTAAATCCTACAGATATTTTTATTTATTCTGTTGATTCTTTGAGAAGGAAGGCACTATTATGCTTTGACGTAATAAATCTTTTGTATGAGTTCCTTTTTGTCCTCAAGAAAGTTTAAAGATAAGATCACAAAGTGAACTTAGTAAAAAGAAGATGTCGAAATGCTGTAAGTGGCTCATAATTAACAGAAAGTAGTTACTGACCTCTGGCTCTGCTTAAATTATTTTTCCTTGCTATTGTTTTTATTCCCACAAATTAGGACTTACTTGTTTTTATAATAATAGAAAATCCATTCTCATTTCTTGTGGAGGCCCAAAAGTGTGAACCTATTTTCATCTTGTCTGAAGGTCAGAGAGTTTCAGCTCACTCAAAATTTTTGATAACAAGTACAGTTAAACATCCTGAGCTAAGGTGTGGTTTCTTGTGTTTTGGACCTTAACATGGCCCATACAGATCCATCCACTCCACTCTGCCTAATGGTCAGGACATTCAAGCATACTTCTGCTCCTTCTTTTGAAATAGGTGGTTTGACCTAGGGAGTGCCTGCCTTCAGGATACTTGGTCTAGGTTAGTTCACTGCCTAAACAACAGAATGCCTTTATCATGGGTTAGTGGCTTGATGGCTCTAAATATTGAAGGAAGTAACTATTCGAATTGTCCTTTGTACTGTGTTAAAGGAGTCTTTTGTCTTCTTCCACCTGTCATATTGGGTTATAAAAGTGCATGGAAAATTAAAGGCAAACAAATTTCAGTATTCATTGGAACTCCCTCTTGGTACTATTCTATATTTTCTGTTTTATTATTTTCACTTGCAATTTTGTTCTCTTTACTTATTTTTCCAACCCACATTCCCCTACCCTGGTAGTGGTATTTTTGTCAAAGCTGGTCTCTGACAATTTCAGTGTTCACAAACACATTTGTTTTTCTGGTCATTTTAAAATAACACATATTAAGTTTGAAAATAACCATGACAGCATTTAGGTTTAGTAAATACGATTAGGTGCTCAGTTTCTACCAATAAATTATAGAAGTTTGGAAAATAGTATTATAGTTGAAATTAAAAATTATGTATTCAGTTATGAAAGCATATGATGTATGAAACCAGAAAGTAATGTTTTATATTGGAAATGAAGACAATATTAAAATATTGTTGCAGAAATCTATAGTTCAAAAGTACTCTACACATATAGAAATTATGATTGTATGTAAAGGTTTTGTGTATAATTATTGAAGGGAGCTTTATAACCCATTTAAAAATGTTTTCTTTCAACAAGATTTTAATAGGAATGAAAAGATATTGTTTCATTTTACTGGATATAGTAATATCAATATTTAAGCTTTAATTCGTCAACATTAAATTTGCACTTTGATTTTTATCAATAGATTCTATGGACAATAAATCATTATGAGAAACCACTCTGTGATTACAGAGTTTGTGCTCTTGGGCATTTCAGACACACCAGAGCTTCAGGCTGTAATTTTTTTCTTTTTATTCATTGCTTACATATTAAGTGTGTGTGGAAACCTAACCATCATCACCCTCACCTTGCTTGACTCTCGCTTAAAGATGCCTATGTATTTCTTCCTCCGGAATTTCTCCTTCTTAGAAATTATATTTACCAGTGTTTCCATTCCTAGATTTTTGGAGTCAATAGTTACGAAAGTTAAGAGCATTTCCTACAACAACTGTTTGGCTCAGTTATTTTTCTTCATCTCCATGGGAGTGTCTGAGTTCTTTCTTCTAACTGCTATGTCTTATGATCGCTATGTCGCCATCTGCAAGCCACTGCATTACACCGTCATCATGAGTCAGAAAGTCTGTGCCCTGCTTGTCCTCACCTCGTGGCTGGGAGGGTTTCTGACCATCTTCCCGCTGCTCATGTTATTCCTCAAGTTAGATTTTTGTGCTTCGAATGTCATTGACCATTTCTGCTGTGACTACTTCCCCATTTTACAACTGTCATGCTCAGATACATGGTTTTTAGAAACAATTGGTTTTTATTTTGCCTTTATCACTTTGTTGTTCACACTGGCCCTAGTGATCTTGTCATACATCTACATCATCAGCACCATCCTGAGGTTCCCATCTGCCAGCCAGAGGGAAAAGGCTTTCTCCACCTGCTCCTCCCACACGATTGTCATCTCCATCTCGTATGGAAGCTGCATCTTCATGTACGTCAAACCTTCTGCCAATGAACGGGCATCGCTGACCAAAGGGGTGGCTGTTCTCAACACTTCAATTGCTCCCATGTTGAACCCTTTCATTTACACGTTGAGAAATCAACAAGTCAAACAAGCCTTCAAGGATTTGATTAATAAAGTAATGTTTCGTAGAAACAAATGAAAGCCATTGTTAACATGAATATCATTGTACCTTTTCAAAATAGGATGAATGAAACTTTACAGTATGAGCTAATTGATTTTATCTTTTTAACTAAGTATTTTGTGTGTTTGGGTGTTTTGCCTGTCTGTATACCTGTGTACCTATTGTAAGCCTGATACCCACAGAGACCAGAGGAGGGCATTGGGTCCCTTGGAAGTAGAGTCATAGATGGTAGTGAGCTACCATGTGGGTTCTGGGAATTGCACCAAGTGTACTCAGAAAGGAGAGCAATAACTTTTAACCTATGAGCCTTCTCTCCATTCCCTCAACCTTCTTTTTAATTTTAAAGTTACTATGTCCTGTCTTCCATTAAACCTGTGTGGGTATTGTCCAACATTTCATCTGCATTGAAACATTCCACCCTGGAGGATGTGGGATTACTCTAAACTGTTATAGAACATTTGATAGTCATCATTATTGTGGAATAAGAATCTGTTCTTTGCTGCTGTCTCTGTCAACAAAAATATGATACTAATGGTAAAGTGCATTCACACTTTTCATTATTTACTTGTTTTCTTCTCTATTTCATTGGGCACAGTTTTTCAATCTTCCCTTTCTAACCTTGATACAAATGTTATTATGTTTTATATTCATTTTGATTGTACATTCTATCGTGGTTATTCCTTTCTGTTTGTCCATTTGGGATGGTGAGCATATTTGGGAGTTTGTAAATGTGTGTGTGTGAACGTGCATGCCTGTGTGTATGGTGGTTAGAGGACAGTGCTGGGTGTCCCCTTCTCACTCTTGTCTTGTTCCTTTGAGGCAGAATATTTCATCAACTTGAAGTTCAGCTAGGTTTGCCATCAACAAGTCCCAGTGATCCACTTGTTGATGTACCCTTCAGTTCTTGAGTTATAGTCATTGATGGGATTATGCTCAGATTTTATGTGTTTACTTATAGCCAACGTCTTCACCTCCTGATTGTGCATCAAACACTCTTAACCACTGAATTTAGGGATTCTTTTCCCCTCTCTCCAGGCCTTCCTTACTGGATCCTGTGTGTCTTTCCCCAGACCACATGTGTAGGAGGGCCTGCTTGTTTGTCCCGGCCACTTGGCTAGTTTAGCCCCAAATAACCACACAGAAATTGTATTCATTAAATCACTGCTTGTCTCAGCTCTAGCTTCTTATTGACTAACTCTTACATATTAATTTAACCCATTTCTATTAATCTGTATATCACCACAAGCTCGTGACCTACCAGCAAAGTCTCAGCCTGTCTACCTCCAGTGGCAGATCCATGGCTTCTCTAACTCTGCCCTTCTTTCTCCCAGTATTCAGTTCTGTCTTCCCCACCTACCTAAATTCTGCCCTGTCAACAGGCCAAGGCAGTTTCTTTATTCATTAACCAACAAAAGAAACACATAGACAGAAACACCTCCCACACCATGAATGCATATTAATTTCTTTCTCTGTTGCTGTTGCAAATCGTATAACCAAAAGTAGCTTAGCTCTGGAGGGTAAAGAGTATATTGTTGCTGGGAGATATGACAGCAGGCAGGCATCATTGTCTAAGCAGTTAGCTGAGAACTCACATATTCTAGCATGTGAACGAAGGAGAGTACAAACTGGGAGTAGAGAAAAGTCGTATACTCTCAAAGTTGCCATATACTCTCAAATGCACCCTCCAGCAAGGCTTCACTTCCAAAGCCTTCCAGACAGTGCTACCAACTAGAGACCCAGTTTTTAAATACCAAACCATTTGGACATTAGCACACCATGCTAACCGTGCTTTCAGGTAGAGTCCTCACCTTTTTCTCTCTCATCCACCCAAGATCCCACCCAAATTTTCTAGGATCCCACCCTATCCACACTACCAGGTTGGCCCTTCTTTCTTCTCCTTCCTAGGCCACTGAGACCTAGCCTGTCTTTTAGTGATCCTGCAAAGACTGGTAGGACCCTCTCTTTTCTCCTCCCTAGGCTGCAAAAGATTGCCTTTCCCAGATCTTGTGCTGATGATGCTATACTTTTCCCTAGGCTGTGCATGACCTCATTTTCCTTCACCAGGACTCCATACTCGTTAATACTGTTGATTCTCTAGGCAGTGCCCAGCTCTCATGGTTGGCTCCTAGAAAGAGGCCAGACATGGCTTCACTCTTTTCTCTAGATATCTTTGACTGAGGATATTTTCTATGCACCTAGTCCATATAGCTTACCTCAGTGGGAGAACTGCTTCCCACAGATATTTCCCCTAGGGATAAACTGAAGATACTCGCCTATCGCTGTACCTTAGAACTATCTGTAGATGTACAAGTGGGTGATAAGAGGCTTACTTCACTCTGTCCCACTCCCTGGGGATTCATCCAAACTGCCCAGACCACTATACACCCTCTGGACACTCCCTAGTTGCCCACGTGGCTCTGGATAGACCTGTTCTCTTCAGCTTAATTTCCTTTGGACTTTATAAAAGATCCCAAGTCTGTAACTTCATCTTTGGGGGTACAACTGAGTAGGCTTAAAATCTTATCAAAAGACACAAACATTAACTTAACTCCAGATGCCCAGACCCCATAGCAAAAATGTAAGTAATATGAAAATTCAAGAAAATAGGTTCCCATTAAGGATCATTAGTTCCATAGTCTTTCCTGGAATCTCACACTGTCTACAGTACCAGGTATGCCCTGTAGAAGTCCTTGTATTCATAGATAAATACTAGGGGAACCAGGAATGCTAAACATTTCTCTGTGAACATGTGTGTCCCTCCATCTATATGTGTTTCTTGAAGTTTTTTATTTTTAGCTTTTTGTTCCATTTGTTTGTTTTGCCATATTCTAGTTTGTTTGTTTTTTATTTTATCTTATTATTATTGTCATTTATTTTTTTGATGCGTGCTTGTGTGCTAATGAAAAAAAAGAAAGGGGGTGGATTAGGATTGGTGAGGAAGTGGGAACATTTGAGAGAAGTTGGGGAAGGGGAAACCATAATCAGAATATTTGTATGAAAAATATCTATTTTCAATAAAAGTAAAATAAAATAGGAAGTTAAACTAGCATTCATTGTACTAGAAGGTGCTATGTAGTTTTCTTGGGAAAAGTCATAAAAAGTTTTCAAAAGCTGTAAACCATGTAAACTACAATAATTATCAGTGTTGCAAGATACAATCATAGATGCAATAGTGGCATGGATGGTAGAGGGGTCAACAAATACTTTCTTATTGAACTTATGGGTCATGCCACAGAATTAAATGCATGCTTGATAAAGTATATCTAACTAAGAACTCATGAATGCAGAGTTCATAGGCCCCGCTGTTCTGCTAAATGGACATAAGTATTAAACTGTCTTATACATTTGTATCTCTCTACCGCCAGATGAGAACTACTTTCAACTTCATCATATTAGTTTCTTAGTGGTTAATTCATGAACTCAGAACTCAGTCAGGAAAGACTAGACTGAAAAGATGTCTTTCTTTTTTTGCATTTCTCTGTTTTATTCTTTTTTTTTAATTTTTTTTATTGCGAAAAGAAGAAAAAAAAACATAAACAAAAAAACAAGTTTCCACCTCCTCCCAGCCTCCCATTTCCCTTCCCCTCCTCCCACCCTTCTCCCCCTCCTCCCACCCTTCTCCCCCTCCCCCACTCCTCTCCCCCCCCTCCCTCTCCAGTCCACAAAGAAGTCCGGGTTCCCTGCTCTGTGGTAAGTCCTAGGTCCTCCCCCCTCCGTCCATATCTAGGAAGGTGAACATCCAAACTGGCTAGGCTCCCACAAAGCCAGCACATTAAGTAGGATCAAAACCCCCTGCCATTGTCCTTGGTGTCTCATCAGCCCTCATTGTTCGCCATGTTCAGAGAGTCCAGTTTTATCCCATGCTTTTTCGGTCACAGTCCAGCTGGCCTTGGTGAGCTCCCCGTAGATCAGCTCCACTGTCTCAGTGGGTGGATGCACGCCTCGTGGTCCCGAATTCTTTGCTCATGTTCTCCCTCCTTCTGCTCCTCCTTGGGACCTTGGGAGCTCAGTCCAGTGCTCCTGTGTGGGTCTCTGTCTCTATCTCTATCCATCACCAGATGAAGATTCTATGATGATATGCAAGATATTCGTCAGTATTGCTCTAGGATAGGGTCATTTCAGGTTCCCAATCCTCAGCAGCCCAAGGAACTAACTGGGAACCTCATCTTGGGCACTAGGGAGCCCCTCTAGGGTCAAGTCTCTTGCCCACCCTAAACTGGCTCCCTTAACTAAGAATTGTGGTTCCGTGCTCCCCTATCCACCTTTCCTATATCCCAATTCTCCTGTTTCCCAGGTCCCCCCTCCTTCCCTTCTACCTTTTCTCTCCCCATCTCCCTTTACCCCCATCCAACCCCATCCCCAAGATCCCATTTTCTCCCCGGAAATTTGGTCTACTTCCCTTAGCCAAGAGGACAACTATATGTTTTTCCTTGGGTTCACCTTCTTACTTAGCTTCTTTAGGTTCACCTCTTGTAGACTCCGTCGTCCTTATTTATGGCTAGAAAACAATTATGAGTGAGTACATCCCATATTCATCTTTTTGGGTCTGGGACACCTCACTCAGGATAGTGTTTTCTATTTCCATCCATTTGCATGCAAAATTCGAGAAGTCATTGTTTTTTACCGCAGCGTAGTACTCTAATGTGTATATATTCCATACTTTCTTCATCCATTCTTCCATTGAAGGGCATCTAGGTTGTTTCCAGGTTCTGGCTATTACAAATAATACTGCTATGAACATAGTTGAACAAATGCTTTTGTCATTTGATAAAGCATCTCTTGGGTATATTCCCAAGAGTGGTATTGCTGGGTCCAGGGGTAAGTTGATCCCGAATTTCCTGAGAAACCGAAACACTGACTTCCACAGTGGTTGCACAAGATTGCATTCCCACCAGCAATGGATGAGGGTACCCGTTCCTCCACAGCCTCTCCAGCAAAGGTTATCCTTGGTGTTTTTGACTTTAGCCATTCTGACAGGTGTAAGATGATATCTCAAAGTTGTTTTGATTTGCATTTCC